CAAAGATCCCAAACCACCCCGCATCCCGCCGAACGGGGATACCACGCCCATGACACAGTGAATGGCATTTCCACAAGGTACATTACTGTTGTCGACAGTTTTGTAGTTGGGGGGGCAACAGGCCAGGATGGTTTTCAGTGCAAGCTCTTTTGGACATTCCAGTTGCTCTTGGGGTTTTGATGCAACCATACGGTATGCTGCAATAAACCACGGACGCCAGTAACACGGCCAGGAGTCACCGCCGCCCAAAGCTATGCAGTCCACATCACCTGAGTCGTTACTTTCATTATCACTTCCTCCCTCATCCTCTGGTGCACGCTGACTTTCAGCAAGAGGTTCGGTCTTCTAGACAAATAGGCGGGCATCGTCAGTTGTGTAATCGACACTAATCATGGCAGCGCCACTTACTTGTTTCTTGTTTGCTGCTGCTTCCTTGGGTTGGATTATCCAAGACGCCTTGTGGAATTCAATGGTTCTGCCCATAGTTTGGATTTGCAATGGTGAATACAGGGAACTGACGTTTTTGTTCCCCTTTTATAGACACCTCAGACACGGAAGACACTCAGAGACACGGTGGCGTTTTTTTTTGTGAACTATGAATTTTCTGTTGCTTTGGTTACTGAATGTTATTGACACACAGGAGAAAAGGGTCGTCAGCGAGAACCCTGTTTCGCAACATTCTGTTAGATGTTGCAACGCAGCTGACCGGCCGCGCATAAGCGATTGGCCGAACACACACACTGGACCAGTAGAAGGGTCAATGGGTTGCGATCTTATTCTAACGACCAATGCAACAAAGCTTCAGCGCCGCGTTACAGCCTTTCATGGATTGATCCAGATATAATGGAAAAAACCCTCATGGGTCTGCCTCCATATTTTCAGTTCCCCAGGGGCATTGGAAGGGCATGGCTATTGACGCAACGCTTCTTTCCCACGATAGTAAACCATCAGACATTGGCGCGCACGATAAAGTATTTGCCTTTGAACATATGAGAGGAGAGTCTGATCTGATTCAATGTATCGGTGTCGCTCGGTACGCTCTCCTGCATTTAACGCCCTAAGTCCATGTCATCCCCCCAGGCTGGGCAAAGGATCATACTTTCACATTTCTCGTTCTCGGCTATGGATCTGCATAGCGTTTTGAAGCCAGAATCCTAGATGAAGCAGGCAACTTTGAGGAATGAAATTTCCCACCATTCTCTTACGATTTGCCAGCAAGACCGACATCTATGTAGATCTTCCACCGTATTGTCGGGTAACCTGCCTCTATATCCAGAGCTTAGCCAATTGTACGATGGCCCACTAGTAGCCGGGGATGGGGCACCTTTGTCTCAGAGACTGAATTGAATCATGACCAGCTCTCTGCGCAAGCGTTTGGCGTCTCTACCCTGGGAAAGCATTGGGAAAGCACGGTGGCCATCTAATAATAACGCGTCGGGCAACGCGTGAGTCGCGCGTTGCGTTAGGAAATGAAATCCCGGTGAAGTCCCGTCGTCAATGTGTCTCAAGCCGACGTGCCATGTACTCGGGTAGCAATCCTAGAAGTCAATTTCTGCACAATTGTCATTGGACCGCCATGGCACTGATGTATAGTGTAAATGCCATCCCACATGCATCAATGAAGTCAATCCCCAGTTATGTATACAAACTCAATTGGACGGATGGCCGTCCAAATTGATCATAGACTACGCTCCCTATTGATCTTGATAGTATATTGCCGAAAGTGGCTCTCCATATGCTCATCCATAGAGTATGCCCATTACATATATATTTTGTGGACATTTGACCCTCCTGCAACCGAAAATCATACTCTTTACAAAGACAAGCCATTACACATACACCGGGCGGATCTGCATGTCGTTCCGAGGAAATTCCATTCGTACGAAGCGTATTTCTGGCGTCCAAGCAGGAAAGAGGGAAAAGACTTTGGTCCGCTCGTTGGCGACGGCGGCGGCATAGTCATCCAACACTCCGCTTTGGCCGTGGCTGGCCCTGGGGCAAAACGTCCAAAAATTCAATGGCGGAAAAGCAACGACGCCAGCGGTGGGTTATATAAATAAGATGTAGGTGCAGGAGTTGCTCTTCTCATAGTCGTTTCCTGGATCTTAACGCCATTTTAAAGTAGATCGCGGCCATTCCTCATTGAATCAGCAAAAAAAGAGCGCCGGAAAAAGATTGTCATTGTCGCACGAACTGGTGCCTTGGACCAAAAAACATTGACAGGAAACTGCGCGAAAGAAAGGACAGAATGCTGGCCGATCCGCTGCCGATGATGATAGCAGCGACCAGTATGGACGGGCGACGAGACGAGAGGGGTCCTGGTGGACGACTGACGGAAGCAATTCTGCGCCGACCGCGATCGCTGAAAGGTTCCATGAAGCGATTTTTCAACGCCAGGTAAATGCGACAAAGTTTGCGGAATGGCTTTGAACATGTATAGTGACTGTAAGATCTGATAGCCTCAAGCTGCCATTAGTACGACGGGCCACGTCGATTGGGCATAGCCGAAAGAGTCCACTGGGTTTGGCGGGCAAAAACTTGGATGATGCCGAGGAGGCGGCAAGAAGGCGACCTCGAACCCCAGATACCGCCCAACATCTGAAGCAGGAGCCGATGGCCACCGTCATAGAGATTGAGGAAGTGTCGAAACCGCACTGCCCGGTCCAACCCAGTCCGCTCCATCTCTCCCATAAAGCCAGCGAGGAATCTGTCAATTCCCATTCCTCCATGGTATCGTCGAGTTCTGCTGCGTCGTCCCCATCCAATCACAATTCGGACATTATACCCGACAACAAAGGCAATGATGACAATGACCCACAATCCCCTTTTTCCATTCAAGAGCTTGAAGAGCTGGTCTCGCATGCTCAAGCGGAGGCGCAGGCGCTGATTGCTTCAACTGTAATGCCCTCACCACCAGCTGTAATCGGCTCCTCGAGCAGCAGCAATGGGGAGGACGAGCAAGATCCGGAAATGGACGCCGATAGCTCGGATGTCCTCGGAGTGATGAATTCCGAATGCCAAATGGACCCAGACGAATGGCGGGACTCGCAACCAATATCTTCATCCGTCTCCCGCCGCCGCCGCCGCAAATCTTGGCAGTCGATTTACACAACCGCAACAGGACTCTCATCACCTGGCTGGGAGGACGACAAAGAACTCGACATTGACCCGGAAATTATTCACGTACCCACCAACTCCACCAACAAAAAGCGACGTACCCAACGAATGAGTACCCGTAATCCCATGTATAACCCCAAAAATCGACAGAGTATCTTGTCCGTATATCCCATCCCTCCCGCCAAGCCCGCTAAGAGCAAATACCGAACCCGTGCCGCCCATCGCCGGAAATCACTTGCGCCAACCCTCAACAACAATACCTTAAACCGGAAATCGCGCCGGAGCATATACGGATCATCTCCCCCAACCTACGTTGACGAACTCAAAGACGGCGACCGGGTCCTCTCTGCCACATCAGATACATGGCGAGCCTGGCGCCAGAGCACCTGGACCATTCACACCATCAAACGATTCAGTACCCTCGCGGCCCCCTCCCGCCCCATCATGCTCAACAGCGATGGCAAATCTGTCTACCGGCAATCGCGCGCCCCGTCCTCCATGTACAAACGACATACACGACGACTGCAAACCCAGACGCTGAGTCTGGAGGGATGGGATTATGAGCAGTTGTTGGCTATTTATGGCGACACTAAGAGCAATAAACATGCATCAGTAGTGGTAGTCGAAGAGGAGTATGATGATGAAAGTGCAGAGCCTGATCTACTACCAACATCCACGGAAGATGGAGACCACGTCAATGACCCGCAAGCCGGAGTAGTAAAACTTGATTCTCTTCTCGAAACCATTCACTCTGCCTTCCCACCCGCCGATGCACTTACTCCCAACAACAACATAACCGCCGACGACGACGAGAAAATGTGGGAAAACGAATCTCAACTCATTCTCGATTCATCCCGCCGCTCATCACTCTGCACTATTATCCCCTCCGAAGACCAAAAACGGGCGTTTCTCATCTCTTCTTCCTTGGGACACTCCATCCCCGATCACGACTACATCCGGGGCCAGAATACTTCCCTCCTTCACGTCCTCGGCCATGACAAGACGAGTAGCACGGGCTGGATCTCGCAAACCGATTCATCGTCAAGTCCGACCCTAAACAATGACGATGACGGACAACGTGACTTGCGAAATTCCACTCAAAGCATCTACACTCAAATCCTCTACCCAACCCTCTCCACAACATCCCGCTCCATCTCCCCTCTACCCCCGCGTCTAAGCCTATCCTCGCTCGGCCCCTCATCCCTCTCCCTGCTTCACCCCCACCCCCACCTCTCGGACAACAATATTCAACGAAAAGAAAGCCAGCGCTCCACTTCTCCTACCCTATTTGAAGTCGTCGCTGCACCACAACCACCATTCACCAAAAAATCCGCCCACCGAAAATCAAAATTGATCACCGTCGCCGTTCCCAACCTCGATAGCCCTTCCTCCCCCACCAAACCGAAACGGTACTCTGTCATGCGGTTCTTGAAACGGGTCAAGCGGACCGTAATGATGCGCTAAAAGAGAACTTTTCACATCTTGTATACTTCCTTTTCCAAACATAGTATTTTTTCCTTTCATATATAGTTTCCTCCCCCATTATCCCCATATAGATTTTACACTTGTACCCTCTTGCACATTGACTTTTATAACATAATATACCGTACTAGCCCTTCCCACCATTCATGCTTTTCTGGTGGTTTCATATCACGATGAGTACCTATCCTCTGGACACACAAACCAAAAACGGTGAAACAAATTCATACGTCTTAATGTTGAATTTCTCAAAGTTCAGGAGCCCAATGCATCACCCACCATCAGTATCTCAGCCCACCGAATTCCGGGACTAACAGGTTAACCGTCTGTCAAACACAACACTTGGGGGTAATGTATGTTTTATTTGGATTATGGGTGCGTGCTAAACCGTGAACTTCATCAAGGGTTCTATAGTGTAGTGGTTATCACGTCAGCTTCACACGCTGAAGGTCTCCAGATCGAAACTGGATAGAATCATATTTTTTTCTGGATGTGGGTACTTCGACTTTTGGTACACACACGCATTTTTTTTTGTATAGAGCCGTGCAGGGCTAGGTGGAGGGAATCTGGGAGGGAATAAAAGGTTTTGGAGGGAGGTCTTTGACTATGAAGTGTTTTGCTTTGGGTTTTCTCTGATGGGTTTCCGGTGAAAATTAAGGCAATACTGAGACCTGTAGTTCGCAGAGTGTCATAAACGTTGCAAGCGTTGGTACTATGGCCAAATACGATGTGAAATTGCGAGTTATTCACAAGTGTACTTCACTGTTGCGTATTCTCTCTCTCAACTACAGGGAAGAATGTTTCATATCTGTTCATGTAATGTACAGGCTACACGCTGCTGAAATCAAATGACAAAGTACGCCGCTATACTGCTAATGTCATAACACTCCCCAGGTAGCATAACACTCCCCAGGTAGGTATTACAAGGGTTGTCAGATCTTCTTGCGTCCAGGGGCAGTGCGTTAGAACATCGGCGACAGCGGGCGACGCCGTAGCCGTGTGGCGAATCACACAACAGCAGCGATACTATCGACACCGCCATTCCGCGCAGCACATGCTCACGGTTTTTGGCCCGGTCCAGGTTGCTAACAAAGATGTCCCGGAGGACTTTGGTAGCTTGGCACCGGCCTCTACCGAGGCATTTGAAGCTACTTCTCCCTGCCATTTGGCAGCTGCTTCAGTTACTGTCAGGTCCTTCCCAATTCCCACAAACGTGCGTACGTACCCGTCCCCCTTCTTGCCGATTACTTTTCGTGCCATATCGAACGATCCAGCAATTGCCGATCCTTATTTTTCCGCTGGGCGACGGCGATTCCCGACTTTTCCCCGCTGGAAATGGACGTTAGCAAAGCTTCACGAACGTATAGAAGAGCACAAATGCGTACGTAAAAAACAACATGTCAACTTGGTCGCCGAATAGGGGCTGGAGAACATGGTACGGGTTTGCGAGCAACCAAGCCTCGGAGAGATATTTGCTAAACTCCCTCGAATTCCGTTCCTGCAGCAGTCTAGGGCGTGTGATTAGCAGCGATCAAGTACCATGCAAAGAGCATACTCACATATCGGTCAGAAAGACATGGTAGATTTGGCAGAGCCAGAAGTCGTCGTCATCATGGGCATTCTCGTCCAGGAGTTCCGAACACCCGCTATAAAGTGCGTTGCGAAGCCCGGCCGCTGGCTTGCACTGAGCAAACCGGTTGAACATTCGGTGGAAAGATCCACCAGCGGTGAAAGGATCTGGGCACTTGACACTGTCCTGTTCAATCTCTCTGCGTTCCGCCTCGGTGAAGAGATCAGTGACATTTCGGTCGGTGCTGACGTAGGTAAAAGAATGAATATTGCTGCAAAATACAAAAAGTGAACATTGAAGTTAAATAGCCGGAACGCACACCTTCAAGTTACTTGACATGCTTGAATTGCAATCCACCTTCATACAGTACGTCTTCTACAGCTCAAGTCATATGATGTACCCCGGGCCTATATCAAACTTTCGCGAAATGAACGCTTTTCCGTTCTTGCACTGTCATCAATCGGTTAGTGATGATTCCGGAAGAGAAACGCGATAGCGTAAACTTACATGGTGGGGTACCAGGCCCAGAAAGCCCGAGAACCCCCGGGTCTTCAGCACCTTCCTAACTTGTGTGGTGAACAAGTCACTGATAGTTGCGCCCTCGGAATATATGATGCGGGAGTAATGGTGTCCGCTCACTTGGTAAATTGGCTGTGAATTGAACCCGTCAGGAAACTTTACAAGCCAAAGCCTGCCCCCGATATCTACCATCCTGAGGACAAAGAAGCGAGCGCTCCATTTTGAGATGAGTCCATAGAAATTGGAGGTTCCGCAGCTCGTCCTCGCTTAAAAAGTTGGCTGAAACCAGGCTTAACATCTGTTGAATGGCCTCTCCAGGTGCTTTGATATAATCCTTATGAATCATGCCTTTCGTTCCCAATTCGGTCTTGTCCACCTCAGCCACACACACGGCGATGTCGTTAACATCGTTGGCAACGTAGATTGTGACGTCGGACTTCGTCACAATTATTGAGTCGGCCTGGCTCTGGAACGTGTGGCGAAATTCCAACGAAATACCGACATCGGTATCCTCGAATGAAGGTAGAGCTGCTCGCGGGACGGCTGCCCAAACTGATCTCACATCTTCCTCGTCTACCTCCGTAGCGCGAACCGGGATCTTTAAAGCCATCTCAAATAGAGATGCAACCCCACCCTGGGTCATTAGGCTTCGCACTTCACGTTTCCTCCACGACAACTTGTTCCAAAACGATTTGGAGTTATTCAATACGCCTTCTGAGACCAGGCAGTCAATCACTTTGGTAGCCGCTCGATTATCCACAAACAAGGCGTGAAGCGTAATTAGGTCATACGCCGGGGGGAAGGTGCTGATAACATCGCTGTTTTCAGGTATACCGGCAAACTTTGCCATGACTTTACCCTCCACAACACCAACTTCCCGCAGAAGCCGCAGCATGTGCCGCCTCTGCTGCCTTAGGCGAACGTCGGCTTGCTGCGCATATGATATTGCCGTTCGGAGATAGCTTTCCACCGGAGGAGACCCACGGGCCCAGAGTAGTGCCTCTTCAATCGACTGGAGCTTATCCTCTCGTAAATCAATAGGTTCTCGTATGATTGAGTTATCAATGCGGTCTACGATGGCGTTTGTAGGTGCGTCTCCGAGTGTTTATTTGATAGCGTCCACCTCATTGCTAACGCAAACTCTTTGTCGCTTCGTAGGAGTTTTGGACGTCTTCTTTTGTCTTTTCAAAGACGGGAACTTGTCGTCGTCCAGGTGTTCCTCAACGGTCTGTAGTGCTTTCCCTTTTCCTTTTTGATGAATACTGGTCTTTACAGGAGAGAAGAGAGAATCTGGATCAATATTGTGCTTTGTAAAGTACAATTTGCAAAATTTACCTCGGCAAAGTAGGTGAGAAGTTTCGGGTACGCAGCAAATCCGTCCCTCGCCTCCCCAACCAGACGGGCCGCCTCTCTGGCCACGAATTTGTAAGAAGGTGATACGCCCATCGTTGTCGCGGGAGAGCTGGACCAGGAAGTCCGATCCCAGGGCCTGGAGGCCAGCGAGGGGTCCACCCGGTTGAGGGGAGACGTGAATACCGCGATTCCGAGGCTGGTCCAGAAGTTCCCGCCGTTTGTGTCTTGTACAGTGAGCCCAGCTCAAGAGTTATGGTGTACCTGCCATACCTTCAGAAATCAATGTTTCCGCCAAGAACATGTGTCACATACCAGTGGGAATTTGTGAATCCAATAAAAAAATCTTCTTATCCGACGTTTCTGCATAAAAGTGGAGAAATTTGCAAATGATAGTGTCATCCAGCCACTGGTTGTAATGCAAAGTTCTTATGGGGTCAGAGTTCGACCGCTCACAAGGAGGCGGTATGTGCTTGTCTTCGATTCCGGCTATGTGCTGGTCCTGTTTCAAGTTGGATTGCCGATATTGTTCTTAATTCTGCCTTGATAGACGTTGACGCAGGCAAACCATTCCACATGTGGATATTTTCCGATTCCTCATTCTGTCGTCCTAGTGCACTGATGGTCACGAATTGCACACCAAATCCCTTCCAATTTGGAATCTCGACTCTTTGTCCTCCAACAAAGAATAGCAAAAAAGTACTTCCGCGGGTGCTCAATGCACACCAAATCCCTTCCATTTCGAAATCTCACAGCGGCCATTGCCCCCGTTAGATTTTACGGCGCCCCTTCCCTGTGTCTTTTTGATAAAGTAGATGGAGTAGAAGGCCTTTCGCTTATTGGTGCTTGGGTCTTCCTGACCAATAGCTTTTCAAAAAAGTGGAGGGCCAAGTTAGAACAAAGTGCGTGAGGATCACAAAACAGCACATCACAAATACCCACCATCACGCTCACTGGGCAGACTTCCCCTGAGGCTAAATGTAATAGCTTGGTTGCCAGTGATATCTGGTAGAGTTTTTGTTGGAATGTCCAGAACTTGATCCTGGGAGTCGTGGATCCGTTGTTGGGCCGTCAGTCGGATTTGGCGCAAGTGGGTGATGAATGAGAGTTGTTTGGAGTTATAGGTGAGCCTTTGAACCAGAAATTGGGCTAAAGGCTATAGTTGGCTTTTCGACCGGTTAGGATCATCAGACCGAGATGAAAGTGTGTGGAGGAGAGAATCTTTCTAAGGCAAAGCTTCGGAACTCTTTTTCTCAACCCGACTTGAATGCCGTCCTTGATGTTGGATGGCAAGGCGATACAAAAGTAGCGTGATCCCCGTTGCTTCAGATTGAAAGTTCGTAATCACATTTTCGTTCGGGACCGCGACGGTGGTAGCCAAGGTCCAAGTAGAAGTATGACATGCCCATGCACGATCGGCCGATGATCTCTGTGGTCTCAAAAATCGTATCCTGAGACTTTCAGAGCCTTGTACAACAATATCGTCGGCTGTACAATAATATACCATAGAGGTAAAATGTCCCCGTCACCGAGGAGCATTAACATTTTCGCCCACTTTGTTGACACTGTGAACAGGATTGAGTTCGTCCTCGCCTCCATTTGCACCGTTCAGAACTTCCGGCGTATTAAGTACCCGGGATTCCTGTCGTTCGTAAAACTCCCCACAAAACTTGAACATGCATCATAGCTTGGTCGTTTCATCAAAAAACACATTTGATCAGAGCTTCTTTTGCGCGTCGCGGTGGATATTCCAGGGTAACAGGATCCGTTTCGATTTCTTCTTATTTCTGACGTCTGGATTGATTTTTGAAAGCTCGAAATGCCGTGGTTGTCTTCACTGGATCTTGGCGAATCTCGTGTGGATATGCACCACCAAGAACTCGAGCCTCGTTTGATAGATTGCGGTAAGTGCTGACAAAAAGTACTACTTTTCCATCTCTTTGCGACTTTGCGTGGATCGTACTAGCATCCAAAGATTCCGAATTGAAAAGCAAAGAAAGCAAGTATAGGTGCCCGAGCTTTCAGCTCTGGCCTGTAA